CATCTGTCAGTGACCGCCTGGGCACGGGCCAAGGGCTGGGGGTCTCATCTGACGCTCGGCCCAAGGCGAGGGCTTGTGGAGACGGCACAGAGCCTTGTGCCGGGGCAGGGGGCTGCGAGGGACTGCCAAGGGGAACCGAGAGCTACGGAAAGAACCTGCTCCTCAGGAAGGCGTCCACTCAACTGGTGGGTGCCTCGTCTGAGGCTCGGCCTAAGGCTGGGCTGAGGTTTAGGGCAGAAAAAAGAAATTGCACCACACATTCCCTTGCCAAGCCCTCAATCTGAAAACATCCCTTTTCTCCTCTTCCTCTCACTCTGCATTTCTTCAGGCGCAGACCCTGAACTGCTCACCCCCACGCTGCCCCCCAGCTCCCCTCCGCTTTCCTGTCACATCCATATCTGACTCTTACCAGTACACCAGTATGGAATTCAGTTATCAGCTGGGAAATGCAGACATACTAAACTTCAGTCTGTGCTAGGAGATATTCTGCATGTTGTTAGAATGGGACAACACCAAAAATGACATAAACATTAAGGGCAGAAATATGGAGAATTTGAGTTATTTACTCAGCATGACATTTTTAAATAATTTTTTTGCTTTTTGTGTGGGTAGTAAATGCAAAGCCATACTTCTTCAGTCCTTCAGCCAATGTTGCGGGATCTTCCCTCACAGAGTCTGGGAGCCAATCTAGCCATAATTGCTAAACAGAAAAACCTTTCACACCACACATTCCCTTGCCAAGCCCTCAATCTGAAAACATCCCTTTTCTCCTCTTCCTCTCACTCTGCATTTCTTCAGGCGCAGACCCTGAACTGCTCACCCCCACGCTGCCCCCCAGCTCCCCTCCGACCCCCCGGCTCCCCTCCGATGCCCGTCTGAAGGGGGAGGTGCGTTACCTTTGGAGAAGACACTTTAACGTGGACAATGATTGGTGCTAAAGACGTCTTGATAAGCTGTGCGGGGTGATTGATCGTGTCTGCGTCCAGGACAACCAGCTGCAAGGACCTGGCCAGCTCAAAGATTCTCTCGATTTCACTCTGAACTTCAGCTGGGAAGGGGAAACAGAAGGGGTCACGCCAGCCGGCACTGCTAGGGCAGACACGGCGTCACCCACTTCCTTTCACAGACTGCAGACATTGGGCCTGTGAACTCCCCAGGTCAACTCATAAAATATAAATAGTACAATTAAAACATAAACGATGAAATCACCCAGGATGTCTCTTAACAATTTTCGTGAATAGCGCCTTTCAGACAACTCTCTTGCCTGAAAATGCAGACGGACTATGTTCCTTTGTGCCATCTGTATTCAAACACTGGATACAACTAAATGCATGTTTATGTTAACACAAAATCCACTTCAGCCCCTTTTCCAAACCTGCTGCCCAGCTTAGGAGTCACAGGACTTTTGTTTCAGACAGCAACCCAGGACTGGGCATTTCTCAAACCGTTTTTATTCTCAGACTGTAAAACCAGAGTCTGTGCGAAATGCAGAACCTTCTAATTCTATAACCACAAACCCCTGTTTACGTTAGGCAACCGGCTGGGTATTATTTAAAGAGACACTAATGGCAACGTTCACACCAAAGCGCTTCTGGCTGAGCGGAAAGGAGAGATTTATTTCCACGTCAATTCTATTTCGGACACTCCTTGTTCTCCCCCTTCTTAATCAGCCCCGCGCACGTGACGAACTTCCACCCGGCACCAGGCGAAGCCCCGCGAGCTGTACCGAGGCAGGAGAGCTGTCTGGCACGGCTCACGCAGCTCAGCTGCCAAGAGCTCTTCTGCAGAGCAACGCCCGCGCGCAGGCACGAGGAGACGCAGTTCCCACCGGCGCAGCCCTTGGGCCGGGGTGCCCCGTCCTGTACTGGAACGCCAGCCGGAAGCGGAGCGTCCTACGACCCGCACCGCTAGCGCAGTCACACAGGATGTCGGAGGGTCGGGTTAAGAGCCTCTTCTTCCTGAGAAGACTGAAACCCAACCCTCCTACCTCCTCGTGTTGCAGAGACCAGGTTACGGGCACGCATGTACCGCACACACATCTCCACCCTTGTGAAGGAGTGAGAATTCACCAGGCCAGTGACACCCAGCAGCGAGCAGAGGGTGTGCAGACCCGGAGCCTCACGGGCAGACAGCAAAATGAAGGCACAGCCGTCAAATATCAAATACAGAACCAGCCCCAGGGGCAGGAACAACACGTTTCGTTCTTGGCCGGAGCAGGTGAAAGCCCTCTGGCACCCTGTGACGTGGCAGTGCAAGCGCAGGGCTGAGAAGATGGAGCTGCGAGGCCAAGTCACTTTGGGAGGGGACAGCACTGAACCCACACGCTGGCTGCCAGCCCCGAACTCATCTTTCCCAAGCGGCAGCTCCAGTGCTGCTTCCTCTGGCCCAGGAACTGCTAAGTACAGCGCTGGCCTCCTCAGGCAGGAAGAACTTGTCTCCCATCTGAGTAGGTAAAATGCAGAATCAGACGTTAAAACGCTGCGAACACATTCAAAACGGCCTAACTGATGACGCCTGGGAGGCTGAAATCCTGTCGCCCTCCTCCGTATGTAACCGTGTTCAGAACCGCATCTGTGTCAATGTCTTACCTAAGCTGGATCTTGTGTTGGAGCGCTCAATTATTGCCCTCTTGCTGGGATTATTCAGAACAGACCTCTTCGCAAGAGAAATGTCAGCTGTCACCCGGGTTATCGATATCCTAGGAGGAAGAACACAGACAGAACAAAACCACAGTCACATTTTCAGGGTGCTACATTCCACCCCAAAGTGCAAATACAGCAAGTAAAATGCCACCCAGGGGTGTTTTACAGCTGAGTCCTGCCGTGGCTAAAGAACAGCTGGACAGAAACGCTGCGTAACTGCCAACTGTTTTCTGTCCCCTACACTACCGTGGGCTCTGCTGTGCGGCTACCGCTATTCTGCTTACTGCACTGGTTACCTCTTCTCCTCCCCAGCTCACCCATCTCCACCAGCAACTTCCACGGAACCAGGAATACCACAAACCCTGCGAGTGCTGGGACAAACAGAGGAGCCGTGACAGTAACAGCACTCCTCTTCCCAGAGTTCACCCAGGGACTGAGGCTGACGCTGCGGGGTGGCACCAAGGGCCACGTCTGGGCAGCTGAGCCGGGTCACTCGCATCGGAGCGCCCGCGAGACGCCGAAAGCGGCGACGCTGGACCTCCAGCGCGTGCTGCCCCTTCCCGACAGGGAGCTGTGCCGACGGGCTCAGTGACCTCCTGGCTCACAGCTGGGCGGGAGAAAGGGAAGCTGAGCCGCAGCTGTCGGCACTGCTGGATTCGCCCCTGTGACCCAGGGAAGGTGATTCACGTTTTACTCCATCAGCGAGCTGACAAGAGACAAAAGCCATCAACCAAAAACCACACAATCCCGTCAAATCCATTTAGGAGGCCTGTGATGAGCCAAAGCGCCATGAACAATGACAGGAAGACACGCTGGAAAGGACCAGCAGCTGTTCCATAGAAGGTAGGAATTATGCAGCCCTGAAAGTGAAATTCTCAGATGGAGGGTTAAAAAGAAGTGCAAGCGTTTTCCTACCTAAGTAACTTTATTGCCAGAAAATAGAGACCAAAAGTATCAATGAGTTTAAAAAAGAAATGGGAGAAATTAACGGATCATGGGTCCAGAGGTGATGATAAAACAGTGTCCCAGACTGCACCTCTGGCTCAGGGAGCTCCTAGACCTCAACGGCTGGAATGGCAGACCTGTGGCAGAGGCAGGATCGCAGATGCTCACCGACTGCACCGACCATCGGCGGCATGCCAACCCTCCCGAGCAAGAAGTAACCCGCAGTATCCGAGTACCTGCGTTTCTTCCTGATATCCCAGAGAAAGAGGGAGATTGAGATGGGACATCAGGAAGGAATTCTTCCCGCAGAGGGTGGGGAGCACAGGGACAAGTTGCCCAGAGAAGCTGTGGATGCCCCATCCCTGGGAGTGTCCACGGCCAGGCTGGATGAGGCTTGGAGCAACCTGGGCTATGGAAGGTGTCCCTGCCCATGGCAGGGGGTGGCACTGGGTGGGCTTTAAGGTCCTTTCCCACCCAAACCATTCCGTGATTCCATGAAGCGGCGCTGAGGGATGGTCAAGAAATAAAGGTGCCTTTGCCTACGCTACAGCGAGTGAGCACAATGCGTTTGGAAGAGGATGCTGCCGGCCCCTCCGCATCAGCCATTCCCTGGATGCCTGTGCCAGCCAAGCTCCCGGCCGGCACCACACAGCCCCCCGGCCTTTCCTGCAGCTCCGTGGCCGGGGGGTTGTTGCAGTTACAAACGAAGGAGCTGGCAGAAGCAGTAAGAGGTAAGGATGGAGTCCTGCTAGGGCAAGTCTTACTGCAGTCACAGGACAAGCTCCTCCTTGGGCAGTCACTTCCGTTCTTGGTAAGGTGGAAGGGTCAGAAAACTGCAGGAAAGAAGGAAAGAAAGCAAAAGACAAGGCAGGAGGAGAAAGACGGCAGAGACACAGAAGTTGGCAGAAGGAACAAGAAGCAGCTGTGGCGCCTGAAAAGGAATTGAATTGATTTCCCTGCCGGTACCCAGAGCTGCAGTCAGCTGTGTCCGTTTGCTTGCGGCATCTGAACTTTTCAATGCTGAAATTTCATCCTTCCACCTCATCCAGTTGCCAATGCTGATGATGGCAACAGGATTTCCAAAAAAACACCTCACTGCGGGCATAATCTCTTCCTTGTGCCCCTCTGTGCAGCCCAGGGGCGTGGGGGGAGGGGGCACGAGTGGATTAAGCAGCCTGAGTGGGTGCGTCTGGGCCCTGCACTTCGGCTCCGCTGATCTTCGTGGGTCAGGGCCCTGCTGAGGAGGATCTCACGTAGGCTACAGAAATATGACCAGCCCTGAGGAGGATGTTGGGGGTGCTGGGGGCGAGTGTGCGCTGGCAGCCCAGAA